AGGTACCAATTCCTCCGGGCAATGTGTATGCAATCAATGATACTCTTTCAGCTGAGGAAGCAGCCGATGACTATGAGACACGTATCAGAGAATTGGTCGACAAAAATTTGATTACTTTATCACCGAGCAGTGGATTTCCAAAATTTGATCTGGTGCTGCTGGGCATGGGCCCTGATGGCCACGTAGCTTCTTTGTTCCCAGGGCATCCTCTTGTGCAGGAGAATAAAAGATGGGTTACCTTCATCAAGGACTCACCCAAACCACCCCCAGAAAGAATAACTCTCACATTTCCAGTGATTAATGCCTCTGCTTACGCAGCGCTTGTGGTGACTGGCAAGAAGGAAGCAGATGCAATTCACTCCGTGTTAGGAAAATCTGAAAATCCTATTAAGCTTCCTGTTGCATTGGTTTCCCCTGAAGGGGAGTTGAAATGGTTCTTAGACAAAGACGCAGCCTCAAAGCTGTAGATGGAGCAGCTAGGCCAGTTGATCTATATGTTGTGCTAGTTATTTTGAACTTTGCAATGTTTAGTTTGTGTAAGAGAAGTGTTGATTTCCTATTCCCAGTGACAGTTAGCATTGGACGGGTCGTTAGTTATTGGTGACAATAAAGGGAATATTAAGTTATGTTGCTTCAAAATATCTCATTTCTTCTCCACAAATTTCCAATCAATAATGTGCACCAACCCCACCCTCTCAACGGACGTGTTCATTCGATTTAAATGCCACTTTTCTGTCGTTGTCGTTGAAATGAATCAAATAATCACTTCACGTTAATGCTCTTTATTATTGTCCTCTCCCACAATCAGTGCCATCATGTGTTGACCCCTACCCGGTTCTTGGTGCTTCCACGTGGAGCTTTTTACTACCTTGCGTGTTGTATTTTGTGTATGTGAGAAGCTACCATATTATGAGGACGCGGCTTGCTGCAACAGGCGTGAGGATATATGAATTATGAAAAGAATTACTGGGCTGAAAAGTGAAGGTAAGAAAGAACTAATTAATGATAAATTAGCACCTGATACACGATTTTATTTGCATATTCCTGCAAACGGCCCTTTGATTAACGGAAGCTTTTCTTCATGTGGAAAAACGCATGTTCAGAAGCAAAACTTCCCGGATGAAAAAACATAAAATAAAATAAGACAGCCTAGAAGTCAGCATCACAATAAACCTCGGTGCTTCCCTACCCTGTGAGCAAATACACCAACCATCACTCTAGAGAGTGAACTTGTCTGGGCCATTGAATCGGATTCTTTGAGTTCTTTTAGCTCTTGTCATTTTTTATTTTTTAGTCGTTAGTTGTTGTCTGAAGCATGACAAGGTGCCCAGCTACCACAACTTTTGCATACATTAGATAGACAGTGGTGAAAGGACACTTGGTGTTGGCCCACTCAAACCCATCAACACCTCATTATATTGTTTGATTGCTGAGTTAAGTAACCCAACAGAGAGAATGGATAATTTCATCAAATATGATAATCCCATGAATCTACTCTATTTAGTTTGGATTTCGAATCTATCCAAGAATTTAGAACTTTAGTTTTTATGTTTTAGTTCAACCCATTTAATTTATTGGTTCTTTTTAGTGATACACTCAGTTCACAATTCATAATAATAATTATTTTTTTAATTTGTGTTATTTTTCAATATTTATTTATTATTTCAGTTTTATATAAGGGAAGGATTTACTCATGACAAATACTAAAATTGTCCTCTTGACTTTACCATTGAAAGGGACGTTTTAACCGTAGATACTTGATTTTTGAATTGTCATCGTGGACATCAGGAGAAAACCTTGGACACACACATACTTTGTTAGATTGAACAGTTACTCCAAGAATATTCTACTCAAACTTGAGACTTGTAAGATGAATAAAGGTTCATTTGATCTAAAGTTAGGTAAATTTGATTTTTGTACAAGTAATTTAAAATCTTCTTGTGTTATAATTAATCTCAATTACAAGAAGTCTGCTATTAAAATGCGTGCCACCATGGGGGAACTGAATTATGCTTATTTGCCTTAGCACTTACTATAAGCAAGAAACGTCCTCAAACCACATGGGCAATTCAATTTTGGGGATGCAAACAGTCTCCCATCATACTTTAAAAGTTTTCACACAACGTTCTATGTTTCTTTTGTGGTTTTATATGGCATTGGTTTTCGTACAATGCAAAGTATATTTGGGTTTCTAATCCTGCATCCATTTTCTAAAACGACAATATTAGTTTTATTGCAATTTGCTATCAAATTGAATGATTAGTTCAAGATGATAATCTTATGCTTGATGTAGCAGTTTTAGTTCATTTTTGTCCCCAACCTCCACACACTTTTTTGCATTAAATGTCACTTTAGGGCATGCTTGGTAAAAGACTCTGCATATATAGCACATTCTGTTAATAGGAGTACCATGCATCCCAGCTTTATCCATGTGCCACACAATTTGACCATCTACAGTTCTACTAATTTCACATCAGGCCAAATTGGTCAGGTTGAAAAGCAAGGTGAATAAAAGAGAAGCATGATGTAAAATTGTACCCAGAAGGTTGTGAAAGTTAATTCCGTCACACATATTCCATTTACATCCAATAATGAAGCTTAGGTGAAAACCCACTTTTCTTTTTTACCTTTTGTTTCTGTAGTATGGTTCGGGGTAGAATCAATACCCTTTCACCTTCCCACTACGGAGAAGTCACAATCAAGGACGAGACTTGCTTAAAACCCAATACAAACACTTCATGATTAGCAGTTTTGACTGCAATCACTTCACATAATTAAGGCCATACTTTGTGATAACAGAGAGTGCTATGTTGTAATTAGGGTGCAATACTTAGGACTCACCTTTGGCATGTTGGTGTTGTCATTATCCCACAGAAGACAAACCTCTCTTTGGATATGACTCACTGTTTATTTTATGGAATCTCTTTCATCATTGTGGTAGATGATGAAAAAGACCTATATAACAGGAAATATTCAAAAGGTAAAACATATGGGCCTTAGAAGATTGTTCCTTTCTTTCTTCCTTCCCTTCTTTACTTCTCATTTTTTAACAGACACTGTTGGGTGCTGATAAGGCAGAAAACAAGGGATACATCGGCCAAATATCTGTGCATTAAAAGGCAAAACGTGTTATTTTCAAAGCTGCTTATTCATGATGACAATGCCGAACTGTTGTTGTGGCCAAAGAAACAAAAGCCTCTATAGCAGCAATGGAATTGCAAATAGTGTGTGTGATAAATTATGGAAGGCAACACATATCATTTTGGTAGACTTTTTATATTGGCCATTGTCGGATCTCAAAGTAGCAATTGATGGCAAAACAATAAACTTGGAAGCCAATGGAGCCCACATCGATAGCAAGTATCATATCATCTCAAGTACCACACTCTCTCAGCCTCCAACAAAAGAAAAGAAAATGCTCACTAAAAAATCTCGAGATTTTCAACATGAATTTCTGTTGCTTTCTAAACATTTATATTACAACAAATGCATTTTTTTCCCGTTTCAAATTAGTGATTTGCTTCTACGAAAAGTAATTTTCCAGAATATAAAGTTATTCAAATATGATGTTTGTTAAAAAAAACAAATAAATTCGAATTCCGGTCATATTGATATACCTTTTGAAATTAATGCCTATTTGCAGAGGTTTAGTCTCTCGTCTGCAATGCGCCTATAGCAGTTGAATGCAACACATTTCAAATGCTAATAATGAAAATTTAGGATCACACGAAAAAATTTTCAGGTTTATATAACAATGAAAACTTCTGGTTTCTAAAAGAATCTGTGTTTAATGTCTGACATTTTAAATTAAATATATCAGAATTTTGTTTAAAAAATAAGCTAATTGATTTACTTAAATATAATTACTTTATTTATTTTTCCTTTTTCTTTTTCGATGCTTTAAAATAAGCCATCACTGCGCCTGATTTTGTTGACTGATATTTCTAATTTTTTTTTCCATATATTCAACGTCAGTTGTTAGTTACTTAGTTGACAATTATGCTTGTACTTTTCTCTTTATTTATTTATTTATTTAAAAATTACAAAAATCCTCGGTTCAAGGAACCCTACCAAACAAGTTCAGGCCTGCTCATANAACTAAAATTATATACGAAGTCGTGAAACTAAGTAGACGAGTACAAGGCTACAAGCATTTCATACAGAGATTACTTAATTGTGGATGATCAGGTGGATGAATCCCCTTTGTTGGATGCTGCTAGGTACGGTGTTAGTTTGACACGTTTATTGAGCGTACGCATTCCTATGGGATGACGCAAGAGAGGGAAAAAATCTGCCTTCAGTTTCAAGTTATGAGCTATAATAGTTCTCGCCAGTCTTCTTTAAAGATGATTGCGTGACCAGACTATGTTGTCTAGCTTCTTAGTCTTTGTTGGGTTGGATTTTTAATTATGTATCTAAAAAGTTTGAATTAGTTAAGGTCATTCTGTTTCACTTAACCTAAGTGAAGAGGATCTTCTTGACCGAGAGAAAGTATTTAGAATAGAGAAAGGAGAGAGAAAAATGATTGACATATTTACGGAGTCATCTCAGTAAAAATTATGATTCTCACATAGTTACCTTTTGGATCATAATGAAATTTTGACAGAAGATTCGTGGCATATGGTTTTTTATTTTGACAGTTAGGATCCTTCATTGGAAGTCTTTGGTTAGTGAAATCGTTCCGCATGGTTGTTCTACTTTAAGTTTCTTTTTCTGTTATTCATATTTGAGAGTATTATTGTTTTGATGTAATGAGTGGTTGAAGGCAGTTGTTTGTACTTTTAGTTTGATTCTCTTGTACCCATTTGATCTTAATGGAGCATGATTGACTCGGTTGCCAGTGAATTTTTATTTTTCAGATTGAGAGGATTTCCCACGATAAAAATATTGATGTTCATCTTCTATTATTTCTGCTCCTCATATTTTTGCAAGATTGAGAATTATTTTTTCTGCATACTTTGATACTTTTGAATATTGTATGGTCGTCATCAGCATAATTTTTTTGTCAATCTAACATGTTGGTACTTCCATCTTGGTTCTCGTGGCAGGTACCAATTCCTCCGGGCAATGTGTATGCAATCAATGATACTCTTTCAGCTGAGGAAGCAGCCGATGACTATGAGACACGTATCAGAGAATTGGTCGACAAAAATTTGATTACTTTATCACCGAGCAGTGGATTTCCAAAATTTGATCTGGTGCTGCTGGGCATGGGCCCTGATGGCCACGTAGCTTCTTTGTTCCCAGGGCATCCTCTTGTGCAGGAGAATAAAAGATGGGTTACCTTCATCAAGGACTCACCCAAACCACCCCCAGAAAGAATAACTCTCACATTTCCAGTGATTAATGCCTCTGCTTACGCAGCGCTTGTGGTGACTGGCAAGAAGGAAGCAGATGCAATTCACTCCGTGTTAGGAAAATCTGAAAATCCTATTAAGCTTCCTGTTGCATTGGTTTCCCCTGAAGGGGAGTTGAAATGGTTCTTAGACAAAGACGCAGCCTCAAAGCTGTAGATGGAGCAGCTAGGCCAGTTGATCTATATGTTGTGCTAGTTATTTTGAACTTTGCAATGTTTAGTTTGTGTAAGAGAAGTGTTGATTTCCTATTCCCAGTGACAGTTAGCATTGGACGGGTCGTTAGTTATTGGTGACAATAAAGGGAATATTAAGTTATGTTGCTTCAAAATATCTCATTTCTTCTCCACAAATTTCCAATCAATAATGTGCACCAACCCCACCCTCTCAACGGACGTGTTCATTCGATTTAAATGCCACTTTTCTGTCGTTGTCGTTGAAATGAATCAAATAATCACTTCACGTTAATGCTCTTTATTATTGTCCTCTCCCACAATCAGTGCCATCATGTGTTGACCCCTACCCGGTTCTTGGTGCTTCCACGTGGAGCTTTTTACTACCTTGCGTGTTGTATTTTGTGTATGTGAGAAGCTACCATATTATGAGGACGCGGCTTGCTGCAACAGGCGTGAGGATATATGAATTATGAAAAGAATTACTGGGCTGAAAAGTGAAGGTAAGAAAGAACTAATTAATGATAAATTAGCACCTGATACACGATTTTATTTGCATATTCCTGCAAACGGCCCTTTGATTAACGGAAGCTTTTCTTCATGTGGAAAAACGCATGTTCAGAAGCAAAACTTCCCGGATGAAAAAACATAAAATAAAATAAGACAGCCTAGAAGTCAGCATCACAATAAACCTCGGTGCTTCCCTACCCTGTGAGCAAATACACCAACCATCACTCTAGAGAGTGAACTTGTCTGGGCCATTGAATCGGATTCTTTGAGTTCTTTTAGCTCTTGTCATTTTTTATTTTTTAGTCGTTAGTTGTTGTCTGAAGCATGACAAGGTGCCCAGCTACCACAACTTTTGCATACATTAGATAGACAGTGGTGAAAGGACACTTGGTGTTGGCCCACTCAAACCCATCAACACCTCATTATATTGTTTGATTGCTGAGTTAAGTAACCCAACAGAGAGAATGGATAATTTCATCAAATATGATAATCCCATGAATCTACTCTATTTAGTTTGGATTTCGAATCTATCCAAGAATTTAGAACTTTAGTTTTTATGTTTTAGTTCAACCCATTTAATTTATTGGTTCTTTTTAGTGATACACTCAGTTCACAATTCATAATAATAATTATTTTTTTAATTTGTGTTATTTTTCAATATTTATTTATTATTTCAGTTTTATATAAGGGAAGGATTTACTCATGACAAATACTAAAATTGTCCTCTTGACTTTACCATTGAAAGGGACGTTTTAACCGTAGATACTTGATTTTTGAATTGTCATCGTGGACATCAGGAGAAAACCTTGGACACACACATACTTTGTTAGAATGAACAGTTACTCCAAGAATATTCTACTCAAACTTGAGACTTGTAAGATGAATAAAGGTTCATTTGATCTAAAGTTAGGTAAATTTGATTTTTGTACAAGTAATTTAAAATCTTCTTGTGTTATAATTAATCTCAATTACAAGAAGTCTGCTATTAAAATGCGTGCCACCATGGGGGAACTGAATTATGCTTATTTGCCTTAGCACTTACTATAAGCAAGAAACGTCCTCAAACCACATGGGCAATTCAATTTTGGGGATGCAAACAGTCGCCCATCATACTTTAAAAGTTTTCACACAACGTTCTATGTTTCTTTTGTGGTTTTATATGGCATTGGTTTTCGTACAATGCAAAGTATAATTGGGTTTCTAATCCTGCATCCATTTTCTAAAACGACAATATTAGTTTTATTGCAATTTGCTATCAAATTGAATGATTAGTTCAAGAAGATAATCTTATGCTTGATGTAGCAGTTTTAGTTCATTTTTGGCCCCAACCTCCACACACTTTTTTGCATTAAATGTCACTTTAGGGCATGCTTGGTAAAAGACTCTGCATATATAGCACATTCTGTTAATAGGAGTACCATGCATCCCAGCTTTATCCATGTGCCACACAATTTGACCATCTACAGTTCTACTAATTTCACATCAGGCCAAATTGGTCAGGTTGAAAAGCAAGGTGAATAAAAGAGAAGCATGATGTAAAATTGTACCCAGAAGGTTGTGAAAGTTAATTCCGTCACACATATTCCATTTACATCCAATAATGAAGCTTAGGTGAAAACCCACTTTTCTTTTTTACCTTTTGTTTCTGTAGTATGGTTCGGGGTAGAATCAATACCCTTTCACCTTCCCACTACGGAGAAGTCACAATCAAGGACGAGACTTGCTTAAAACCCAATACAAACACTTCATGATTAGCAGTTTTGACTGCAATCACTTCACATAATTAAGGCCATACTTTGTGATAACAGAGAGTGCTATGTTGTAATTAGGGTGCAATACTTAGGACTCACCTTTGGCATGTTGGTGTTGTCATTATCCCACAGAAGACAAACCTCTCTTTGGATATGACTCACTGTTTATTTTATGGAATCTCTTTCATCATTGTGGTAGATGATGAAAAAGACCTATATAACAGGAAATATTCAAAAGGTAAAACATATGGGCCTTAGAAGATTGTTCCTTTCTTTCTTCCTTCCCTTCTTTACTTCTCATTTTTTAACAGACACTGTTGGGTGCTGATAAGGCAGAAAACAAGGGATACATCGGCCAAATATCTGTGCATTAAAAGGCAAAACGTGTTATTTTCAAAGCTGCTTATTCATGATGACAATGCCGAACTGTTGTTGTGGCCAAAGAAACAAAAGCCTCTATAGCAGCAATGGAATTGCAAATAGTGTGTGTGATAAATTATGGAAGGCAACACATATCATTTTGGTAGACTTTTTATATTGGCCATTGTCGGATCTCAAAGTAGCAATTGATGGCAAAACAATAAACTTGGAAGCCAATGGAGCCCACATCGATAGCAAGTATCATATCATCTCAAGTACCACACTCTCTCAGCCTCCAACAAAAGAAAAGAAAATGCTCACTAAAAAATCTCGAGATTTTCAACATGAATTTCTGTTGCTTTCTAAACATTTATATTACAACAAATGCATTTTTTTCCCGTTTCAAATTAGTGATTTGCTTCTACGAAAAGTAATTTTCCAGAATATAAAGTTATTCAAATATGATGTTTGTTAAAAAAAACAAATAAATTCGAATTCCGGTCATATTGATATACCTTTTGAAATTAATGCCTATTGGCAGAGGTTTAGTCTCTCGTCTGCAATGCGCCTATAGCAGTTGAATGCAACACATTTCAAATGCTAATAATGAAAATTTAGGATCACACGAAAAAATTTTCAGGTTTATATAACAATGAAAACTTCTGGTTTCTAAAAGAATCTGTGTTTAATGTCTGACATTTTAAATTAAATATATCAGAATTTTGTTTAAAAAATAAGCTAATTGATTTACTTAAATATAATTACTTTATTTATTTTTCCTTTTTCTTTTTCGATGCTTTAAAATAAGCCATCACTGCGCCTGATTTTGTTGACTGATATTTCTAATTTTTTTTTCCATATATTCAACGTCAGTTGTTAGTTACTTAGTTGACAATTATGCTTGTACTTTTCTCTTTATTTATTTATTTATTTAAAAATTACAAAAATCCTCGGTTCAAGGAACCCTACCAAACAAGTTCAGGCCTGCTCATAGTTACATCCATCTTACAAATTCCATTTTTCAAAAATAAGTAATTCACTTTAGAAATTTTAATTTTTTTAAAATTAATAATTGATAATCAACTATATTAACAGTTAAATTTTGATTGAAAAATGAGCAAAAGTTTGGCTTTTGTTACGCACAAGTCGGTGGAGTTATGCGCACAAGTTCAACCTGCTTTTGACCGGATATTAGATGTCAATATCAGTTTACTAATCTGTAATTACTATAAACATGTTGTCTTAATCAATGCTTCACCAAACTAAGATCATATTTTGAAGCACAAAATATAGATTTATTATTATCAGTTGAAATTTTTTATTATTGAATAATCATAAACTTTGAAAATTAGAGATCAGACTCTTAATTGTATACGAAAAAAAAATGTAAATATCTATTCTTTATTCCAACTTAATGTAAGACTACGAGTTAAAAAAAGGCACTGTTTATTCTTGAGATTCCTTGAGGTTAGACGTATATTATTTTTTGTCAAAATTTACAGTAGTATCCTTTGTAAAAAGTATAAACTGTATTATTTTTCAAACAAATAAAGGATGTTGTAGTGCATATGAGTGAATAATAATAATAATTAAGAGAATAAAACACTAAGAAAATTACGTAATTTCACAATTCTCAAGATGGTCTATGTAGTTTATTATTCGATTATAAATGTTACTCGTTCAAAAAGGAAGATCACGGACATTAGTATTCAAAATGTATATTGCGTTGATTATACTGAGTTTTTTTTCTCTTTAACTTCTTAGAATTTCATTTTCAATGGTTGTTAAAGAGTTTTTTCGGAGAAAAAATCAACTTCATCTGAACTAAGCTTAAATAATTCATTAAAGCACAAACAACACCCTATCAGATTAATTTAAGAGCATAGTTTTAAATCATTATTTGAAAATCACACCTATATAAAACGCGATTAAATAAAAAATCTCTTAGGTAATTTAATTGAATTTATATAATAGAAAATGGATTTAAGTTTAATTTTTTTAGATTAACTATATTAATCTTATCTTTAATATATGTGATATTTTCAATAATTTTCTTAATATTAACTTATTTATATTTATATGTGAAACAAGAAATTAATAATAATCTAATAACAAATCACATAATAGATTTAACAAATGATAAAGATTTATTTATTTATTGTAATTGATAGATTTGAAGTATGTAAAAATATTTGGAGATTGAATTGATAAAAAAAAAGTTAAACCCCTTTGGAGGTCCTTATTTATGTAGGGTTTTCTCAGTTAGATCTCCATCTTTTAAGTTTTGTAAATTTGGTCTTTTATATTGAAAAATTGACTCAATTGGATTCTTGCCGTTAAATCAACTTAACGAGGTTAAGTTTTTTATGACCTGTGAGGGTGACATGGACATTTTTTGAGACATGGCTTGCATAGACCCTTATACGTGATTTTTTTTTATTAATGAAACCCTTGTACATGACATTTTCTTAAACAAACATTTTAAAAATTGGTGTCATCACTATTCTAGACCGAGTTCCGCCCGATTCGAAATCTAACTCAATGTTTCTTACACTAGACATCGAAACTTTCATTTCAAGAAAATGCCGTGAATCACAAGAGACACAAATTATCCCAACTAAGCTTCCATCATCATCATAGAAAGGTGTATTAGTCGTTACAGCTATGAACTTCTCTCCCATCTTATTCTTGACCAAAAATTGCCCCGTCCAGTTCTCTCCCATCATTACACGGTTTATCATTGGCCATGCCCAAATCCCTAGGGTCTACAAGCAGCTCAATCTTATCCCGCCCTAAAGCTTCCTCTGCTGTATAACCATACAGATTTTCCGCACTATGGTTCCTGCAAAATTTTCCCCAACCACATTTTTTGTTTTCTCAAAACAAGGTCTTAATATAGGTTCCCCAAATTCACGCAATCAGCACCATACACCATCACATGCTCACAGTAAACAATATATATCAAACATTAAAACACAACCAACACATCCATTTTCCAGCAAAGAACTAATCACAAGTATTTATAGTAAGAAGTTTTTCCCTAAGTATTCACAAAAAATATTAAGATACTACCGTTCAGTGAAATTCACGGCGGAAAGACCACGGCGCGGAGTAGCACCTTCTCCTTCTCCTCAACCTCCTATGCCGCCGCCGGGAATTTTAGGATCGCCGTAGTCGCGGCTCTCTCTCTCCGCCATCACTCCAATGCCTTAATTTAGCAAATTTCCTCTCCACTATGGACTTCGCGTGTGCTTGCGATACACTCCGCTTCAGATTTTCTCTTCCTAATTTTAATCCCAATTCAAATTTCAATGAAACCTAATTTTAAAATGTTTCAAAAAAAACTCCAATTTTTAAAATGTTTGTTTAAGAAAATGCCACGTAGAAGGGTTTCATTAATAAAAACCACGTATAAGAGTATGTGCAATCCACGTCTCAAAAAATGTCTATGTCACCCTCACAGGTCATAAAAAACTTAACACCGTTAAGTTGATTTAACGGCAGTGGCCCAATTGAGTCAATATTTCAATATAAAGGATCAAATTGGCAAAACTTAAAAGACGGGGATCTAACTAGAAAAACCCCAGGTAAATAGGAACCTCCGAAGGAGTTTAACAATAAAAAAAAACTAATGTTAGAATTGTGAGATTGTGGAAAGAATGAGATGATTATTATTTTAGTTTTTACTGAGTAATGTGACAAAGTACAATGGAAATGGTACTGAGAGGGTTGAGTTATGATTTGACTTTTGTATTTATAAAGAATGAGAATTTGCCTTATTTTTCATGTGCACGTTTGGACATGAAAGTTTGACCCTTATACACCACTTTGCAAATCTTAATGAGATTAGTGATGAAAGATTGATAAAATATAAAGAAACAACTCAAGGACCTCTTACAAACAATCATTCACTTCATGGAAGGATAAAAAGAAATTTAAGAAAAAAATATGTTGGAGGACTATCTCTTGATCCAATACAAAGGATAAGAAATTTTCAAGTAGTATGAATTTGAGGACAGAAGGAAGATACGATAGATGACTATTTCCTAATTCAATACAAAAAGAACTTGAAGATGAGCCTTTACAATTCATAGGATATGAAGACATGAAGGTCATGGCTTGGAACACAATTATAGAATAAATTTTAAGCATTTAGAGTGTATGTAATTTATTTTAATTTTGTAAGTTCGTTGGCGAACAATTCGTTTATATTATTAATTTTCAAGTTATTTTGGACCCAATATCTTTGGGCTTTCTTTTAGGGTTTTCTTATGTTGCTTAAACATTTGTGTATATATACAACAAATACATTTGTAAGCACCTTGGTCAATATATGAAATTGGTTTTTCACTAAAAGAGGATTATTTTGATTCTTGTTATAGAACTATGGTTCTTATCAAAGATTGAATTCTTTGTGACAAATCTTTCTTGACTTATCAATATGATAAATTATGGTGTCTCCTTTGGTTTTTTTCTTTATCAAAGATGACAATCTTTATGGTGAATCTTCATTGACTTATCAATATGCTAGATTGTGGTGTTATTCCATTTTTGTCTTACTATGTATTTTTCTCTGATTCATTTTTGTTTGTGCCTCTTGAAGAATCAAATTAAGAACGATCGTACTCTTTCCTAGATAATCATATCATCTAGTATCAGGATTATATCATTTGACACTAGAGTGTATCATTTGGAATCTAGATTGAATAAATTATTCATTGACTTGCTATCTTGGGCGTGACTAAGGTGTTGTTGAGCACCATAGTTGTAGTGGCATGGGCGTTGGGCAGTAGCAAGGATACATTAAGCAAAATTTTGACAATGAGCCCTTGTCTTAGTTGTGTCAGACAATCCTTATATAATATTGGGCAATATTAACTCAAATAACTATTTGTATTTTTAGTGTTGGAAGTGGATTTATTGCTTTTGTGTTAATGATTATGGCTTGGAAATATAAATTTTTTTTGAATTAGAATTTGCTTGATAATTTGAGGTTTGAGTCCAAGTAGTTATTTTCAAGAGAAACTATTATCAGTGTACATAAGCCAAAGTTTATTGAAAGAGATTGTGTGTGAGTGAGAGTATATTGACTCTATTATAATCTAACTCATACAAAAGAAGATATCTAGGTGGTAAAAATTGTAAGCCACTTCACAAAACAACTAATATAATATGAAAGATACTTAGAGATTAAAGTTAACCATCTCATGACTTAATGAGAATATAAGTTCATAGATATAATTATAGTTTGAAGATTTTGGTAATAAGTATGACATGTGCAAAGTCTTGTGAATTTAGTTAATATACTAATATCTAAAAATAATGTCTAGATCGTCAAAATTATGAATGAAAGTACTTTAAAATATTTAAATATTTTTGAATTGAAGTATGATAGTTGATTTTGAACAAATTAATATTTGACACTTTGATAGAAAATATACACTATATAAGTATTAGAGTGGCAGTAAGAATTTTAATATTTTAAATAATTATATTAATTATAATTCACTTGTTTTGAAATATCTTGAAATTTCATTAAAATAATTGGATATTATATATATATATATATATATATATATATATAATTGAATAAATTTGGAATGTTAGCATATTATATTAAAACATTAAACTTAAACTTAACTCAAGCTTGACGTTACATTTTGATCTGCGAGAATTAAATTCACTTTCTAATAATATTTTTCCTAAATAAATTTCATATTTAAATAATTGTTATTAGTTTAGAGAAATTAAATTTAATTAAAAAGATTGTTCATTAATTTCTTGAAAGTCAATAATTTAAAATACAAATATGAACACTTTATTTCAACTGCCAATTATGTAAAACCCTGTTGTACAAAAATAATATTCAACAGCACATGCCATGGTGATATTTTAAGCAGAATCCTTTATATTGTGGAATTTTTAAAAACCAGGAACATGTGACTTGAGACAGAAACTTGGATTCAGATAGAAAATTAAGCGTTTCCTTCTTGCGCCTAATTAAAATGAGGGCAAATTTTATAACTAATATGTTGTCTTCGTTTACATCACTGACAATTATATTTAATGAAGTCTTTTTTCAGTGATAAAAATTAAATTCATTATTTTGAGAAACCAATTTTAATTGAACAGTTCAAAGGAAAAAAGAGATAACAACTTTTGGAAAAGGCGAAAGAAATTACCTATATTACGGAAGTATAGGTCTGCAACATTTAATAGCTTTACTGGAAATAAAGGTATTGACCCATGATTAGATTAGATTGGAAGTTAATTTATTAATAAATGGAGGAAAGGAGATAATGTTGTTGGCATAATTTCTCGTTTTGTTAATTATTAATTAAATTAGTTAATTGAAAGTTGGGAGCTTTAACAAAGGAGAAGATTGAGATTAGATTAGTTAGTTAGTTCGAAAGTTTGAATGATGTGATAGAGAGAAACGGCAGCGTTTTGGCACTTCCACCCTTCTCCCCCCAAAAGCATATTAGATTAGATTCTGCTTCCTTTTCTTTCCCTACTCTACCAGTCTTCCTTCTTTCAATTTTTCTATTTATTTCCATTTCAGTCCTTTCTCTCTCCCTTGATACTCCCTTTGCTTTGGTGTGGTGTGAGAGACACTCTCCTCTCTTCTCTTCTTTCTCTCAAACTAGTTTTAGTTTCGATTCTCAAACAATTTCAGGAGCGAACCATCAAGGGAAGGGTATTCTCGTACTTTCACTCTCCATGGTCACGTCCACTCACTTCATCACCACCAGCGACACTCACTTCGTCACCGGTGCCGCCGGGTTGGGGTCAATGTCCGCGGCGGCGGTAACTCCGGCGGTGCTCTTCACAGCCCTCGCCGGCTTTGCTCTAGTCGCCGCCGTATTCTGCGGTGGTAGTAGGTTACTCGAATGAAAGAATTATAGAGCCTCGTCGCAATCGCAAAAACCCTAGCTAGAGGATACTGTTTTCGATTCCGATTTAGTCGCACTATTAGGGAAAACTAAACACGAAAAAGTGTACATAGAAGGAATTTATAGATGAATCCCCTTAGACGAAGTCTCAATTCGCAACCGTCGTCCTCGAACTCCTCTCCTTCGTCGTCGTCGTCGCAATCGTCGTCGACCTCCTCGTCGTGGATCCATTTGCGATCGGTTCTTTTCGTTGTCACTGCTTCCTCACCTGCTTCTTGTTCGTCCTCTGATCGGTGAGTTTCTCTTCATTGTGCTGCTCTCTGTTCATTTTTTAAACTGTTTTTATTCAGTGCTGAGATTTCTATTACTTTTGTGTTTATTTCGTGCCAGATCTCCACTTCTGCGCATCCCAGTGTTGCTATCAGTGTCCGCTTAGGCTGATCAGCTTGTGTGTGTTGCGTTTCTGTTTTTGGGTCTCTTTGTTCAGCCGCATTTCGGTCTTATTGTGTGTTTACTTGTTGAATCATTCATTTGTTCGAATTGCTACAATGTTTGTCATAATTAAAAAAGGAAATCCTGATTTGTCTTTGAAAGGGGAAGTAGGGTTGAGGAGGACAAGGTAGTGGGAAGGAGACAGATCTCTCTTTTGGTTTTGCTGGAGCTTTTTTGTTGTTTGTGTATTGGATTTCTTTAATATAAAGTTTCTTTCTTCTTCCCTCGAACTGTTTATCCTCCTATTCCTTTTCTTGTGTCAAATCAATTGTAGGTGAAAAACCGGTACTAAATGGTGATCTTGATCGGACATCAAAACCCCCGTTTGTCTTGTATGTTTTTTCCTGAGCTATAAAGGAGGATCTGTTCTACTTTATGTTAAGGAGTGCGGTTCATTTGAGACTGAAAAAGTATATTTCATGACCAAATTAAATCTAAGAAGGTTTGCAATTTTGAAGTTTTAATCTAGATATATATCAGAGGGATGTTGAAGTGATAAAGTCTTCAAGTACAACTTTTATATGTCCCGGACACTCTTCATTTTACTTAATTGCATGCCCATATTTTCTTACTTCATCACTACTAAATTTAAAATTTTAAACAGAAAATTTCGATGTCGTAATCTCATTGGATTTTGGAATCAACTGTTTTAATTTTCCAAGGCTGTGTTTTGTAAATTTAGCTGTACACAGCGACAAATATGTAATATTATTCAAGTCAGTACTGAACATTACATTGCACAGAAACTCCTTTGTTTAAGTAGACCGGGATTTCTCCAACTTGATAAGTTTGTTTTCAAGTGTAAAATTATTGCTACATATTATAAAGTTAACTTCGAAATTGACGGCTTTTAATGCTGAATGGATTTTATTGTTTTGGCGTCATGTATCTTGCACATAGTTTTGTGATTTTAAAATACTGAAACTTGTATACGCCTGCTCACTTTTTTTTTCCCTTGGGAAAAGAAGTCACAGTTGAGTTGGAAAAAATTATCTATTATACTGCAGTGCTGTGATTTGCTGTTAATCTGGAAGAGTATATTTTTATGTACCTTTTTACTACCTGAATTTCTTACTTTATGACTTCCTTTATTTCTCTGTAATCTAAAATTCAAATGCAAGCAATTGTAATGAGAGTGTCCTCGTGGCTTAATTTTCAGAGGTCGTCTTAAATCACCGTGGTCGCGTAGGAAAAGGAAACATGTACTTTCACCTCGGCAATGGAAAAGCTTGTTTACCCAAGATGGGAGAATTCGGGATGGTGGAATTAAGTTCCTGAAAAGAGTTCGCAGTGGAGTGAGTTCACTAATCTGATTGTTTAGATTTTAAATTCTTTGGTTTGGCTGTTTCTCCTTGAACTTGATTACGTATATATATATCTGATGCAGGGTGTTGATCCTAGTATTAGAGCTGAAGTTTGGCCATTCCTACTCGGAGTGTAAGCATGCTATCTTTGATGCTTCATTTATAATTTGTAAATGATGCTTATTGTTTACCTTTTTTACGTGTCTGGGATCTAGGAAATTTGGATTATGCACTGGCATGAGATACAAAATGGACATGCTGTTACACGATGTGATTTGAAAAATCTTGCTCCTGGTTAAATATTTAGTACTGTGTTGCAGCTTGGTTGTGAAGAACCTTAATCATCTCTTATCTGTAGTAGTACAAACTTTTTTCTTTGCTTCAACTTATGCATCGGAAAGGATATTTTTGGGCTTCTTTATTTACATCTTTTTCATCTTTTTTCCTGTTTTTTTCCCTTATTTATTAATTTAGATGAACTCTACTATGGTTACTGATTACATATTCTGTTATACAGCTATGACTTGGACAGTACTAAGGAAGAAAGAGATGCTATAAGAACTCAAAATAGGTAAAGTATATATAATGGATCCACCATGTTTTTGCAGTATTTTAAACTTTTATTTTGTGTGTACTTTCCTCATCTGCCTTTTCAGTTTAATTCTAAATCTTTAAATGCAGAAAGGAGTATGAGAAATTTCGCAGACAGTGCCGGCAACTGCTAAAGCACAATAATGGGAGCTTTAAGTTAAATGAAATAGGGGAAATCAGCTATGAAGGGGATGGTGGAAGTCTTATTCAAGATTATGGTTCTCCTAGTTCAGAAGATGCAACAAGTGCAAGAGAATCTCTTTCCAGTGAGGATCATAGTCCAGATGCTGAATATTCAGATGATCCATCTAGTGCCCTGTTGGAAGGAGACGATGTTCCAAACGTCAGCAATGCTGATACCTCTGCACTGGATACTGATTCCACTGATTCAGACTCCTCAGAAGGTCCTGAGATAATTCAGACATTTCCTTCTGATGATGGTCAGGAAGACAGCAATTCCAAGACCCCCAAGGATAATTCTTCTCCCTCTGTAATGCAAGTTCCTTCAAAACTATGGACTAATGAAGATTTTGCCACCTGGCAACGGATCATCCGACTTGATGCAGTACGGGCGAATGGGGAATGGATGCCATACTCCCCTTCTCAAGCTGTGGTACCAGACTGTAGGGCACATCGTTCTGCTGAGGCGGTTGGATTGAAGGATTATGGTCACCTGGATGCCAGCAGAATCTTTCATGCTGCTCGACTGGTTGCAATTCTTGAAGCATATGCTTTATACGACCCTGAAATCGGCTACTGCCAGGGTATGAGTGATTTGCTATCTCCTATAGTTAGTGTTATACCAGAAGATCACGAGGCTTTCTGGTGTTTTGTTGGATTCATGAGAAAGGCTCGGCAAAATTTCAGGCTTGATGAGGTGGGTATTAGGAGGCAACTAGATATAGTTGCAAAAATTATTAAGTTCAAGGATGGCCACCTGTTTAGGCATTTGCAGAAGCTGCAGGCCGAGGATTGCTTTTTTGTGTATAGGATGGTGGTGGTATTGTTTAGAAGGGAGTTGACATTTGAGCAGACTCTTTGCCTTTGGGAAGTAATGTGGGCAGATCAAGCAGCAATCCGAGCAGGTATCGGGAAATCTGCATGGAGCAGAATTAGGCAGCGAGCTCCACCAACAGACGATTTATTGCTTTACGCAATAGCAGCATCAGTTCTACAAAGGAGAAAGTTGATCATTGAGAAGTACAGCAGCATGGACGAGATCATTAAGGAATGCAATGGCATGACTGGACACCTTGATGTTTGGAAGCTGCTTGATGACGCCCATAACTTGGTTGTCACCCTTCATGACAAAATGAAAATAGAGACATCATTACGATGAGTGCAGGTGATACTGGAACAAAGCAAACCAAAGCAAACCAAATGACGTGGCCAAAATATCTTTAATTTCAAGCTGCCAGATTTCTCCACGCATCTAAACGTGCTGCAAATGTTGAGTTATTATTACTGAACTTAGTCTGCTGCATGACGAAACTTGCCATGCTTATTTACCAGGTTCCGGTTTGGACAATGTTGGCTAATGTGGGGACTGACACGAACCCCTGCATGCACTCTCTGCCGCTTCCAACTACATCTTCTTCATCGACGAACCTTGCCGCTTCAGCTCGAACAAAGATCACGATTTTTCTTCCCTCACGCGAATCCTAATAATAAAAAACTCCAATTTGTTTCCCCAATCTCTCAACTGCATTCCTCAATTAAAACGTCTTGTCCTTTAATTTTTTCTTTTTTCCTAGTTTACCCTTACCCAAAACTGATTATACTTCTCTTCCTTCTTCTTTATTTAATACAAAAATTCTTTTAAATGCCACGTCTGCTTAGTAACTGCACTAACCATGTCACGTAACCAATACTGTTACGACCGTTTGTCCATTTGTCCAATTTAACGGCAGACCTCTAATTGATTAAATTTTACAAAAACAAGGACTCCATTGATACGCCGAAAAGAAAGAGGACCTATTTCAAATTTATGACTCAAATAGGGACCTACGGAGACATTAAACCTTAAAAGAAAAAGATACATTGAAGAGAGAAACCACGCGGCGGCCACCACCACCCATTCCGCCATTATTGACTCTCCAAAGCAAAAGAGAGACAGGTCAAAACAACACGTGTAAGAATTGCCCATCTTCAGGTTGGGATTGGACTAGAACATTGTCTGTTCCCGCGCATAGGCATAGGGTTGGAATATGCAAGGAATGTGGACTTCGCTGAGGAGCTAAAGCCATTGAAGTTAGTGCTAGACGAAGTTGTGTAAGCACCCATGTTGGGGAACACGAGCCAGTCGTTCACTTGCAGTTCCGGAAGCTTGTAATCCGTTAGAACAGTGTCAAGTGAATCGCAGGTTGGCCCAAACACGGTGGAAGAGTAGGTTTTGGAATCCCTGCAAAAAGGGTTCTCAGGTTTCGAGCTGCAGGCGAGTGGCATGCACGTGACGGTAGCGTAGTCAAATACGATGTTAATAAGCGTTCCATAAATTCCATCGTCAATCCAATACTCCCTCAACTCTCCTCTCACGCGTTTCCCGATAACCTTCGTGGCCAACGTGAAAGCCGTTTCTGCAAAGTAACGACCCGGCTCGCCAATAACCACCAGCTCCTCTTCATTCCCGAAGCTGCCTTGAATCGCCGCGTTGATTTGCATAGCCGCGACATCGAACTCCGGCCCGGAGGTGAAGCCGCCACCGATGTCGAGAACGCGCATTCTCGGCATGCCCAGCAGGGAAGCCATATCGAAGACGGACTTTGCCGCAGATATGGCTCCTTTGTAAGCTTGCGCGTCACCTCCACCACTTCCAATGTGGAAGGACACTCCCGTCACTTTGAGTCCGGCGGCGTGAGCCACGCTCAGAAGCTCCGGGACTTCTTCGGGAAGCGCGCCGTATTTGAGGCCCAAGCTGGTGCGCGCTCCACTTTCTTGCGGCGGCCTGATGCGGAGGAGCAACTCGCACGTGGGGTGGCATTTGCGTATCTTTTCTACCTCGTCTTTAGAGTCGTAGGTTGTGACGTTGACGCCTACGGTGGCGGCGTATTCAATGTGGGATTCGGATTTGCAAGGGTTGGCGTAGATGATGCGGTCGGGTGAGACTCCAAGGGATAAAACGGCTTCAATCTCGGCTTTGCTGGCGCAGTCGAAGCTGGTGCCGAGGGCGGCGAGAGCTCCGATGAGGGAGAGGTTGGGATTGCACTTGACGGCGTAGTAGGGTCGGACCGTGGGAAGCTTGGTGGCCCATTTTTCCAACAAGCCCATAACGACCCCCAAATCTAGTACGCTGAATGGAGAATCAATGTCTGGTTTTTCGGCAATGGCTGTTTGAATGAAGTCAGTGAGGGCATTTCCTTGTGGTGACAGTGCAGTGACTCGTTTGCCCTTAATGCCTGAAGCACTGAAAACAGGCTTCAAGCTCAAGGCTTGGAATGGTTGAGAAACTAGTGTAGACATTTTTGGTAGTAAAGGTAACTAAGAGCTGAAGGGGAAGCAGAAGGGAGAGTGTTAGAGTACGTGAATGACCACTGAATGGATGATAGTGTCTTTGATGTTTGAGAGCCAAATGAAGATCATATATATAGACCCAGTAAAGCAGCCAAAGCACCATTTTTGGCAATTTCTTTTTAAATTATCGTAGCAGGGAAGATTTTAAAAAAATACGAAAATGGATAAGTTTTAAGGTGGCACTATCTCGTCACAAAAAAGATTGTGTCTGTACGAATTTAGTTTAAAATATTTTTTAAATTAAATCAGGTCAAATTGATACAAATTCGGTTCAAAATATTTTAAACGAAATTTTATCAAAATTTAACTGAAATTATGTTTGTCTTATATATTTTTAATTTAAAATATATTAAACTAAAATTATCTTAATTTAACACAATTTTTTTAATTTAAAATTTATAAATTAAAATCATATCAATTTTGGCACCATTTAACTTGAAAATTACTTTTAAACTAAAGTTGTCCCATTTCAAACTATTCCTTGGCAATCAAGTCAAATTGTAACACCACTTATCCATTTTTGATAATTCTTTAAAAATGAATCCCATTTTGATAATTTTGTTGTTTTCAAACATAAGCATGTACTTAATAGATCATAATATATTGACAATTTTTTATAATAATTATTTTTTAATAATAAATTATGTATTACTTTGTTTGATTTTATTTTTAAAAAATATTTGAAACGATTAATCACATATAAAAAAGTTATAAAAAAAATTACGTATTGCATGATTGAATATATAATAATTTATGAGTTTGATACATGCAGAACCAAATAAGCACCACGAATAAAGTATTAGCGCATTACATTCCAGCGCGACGAATCGAGAAAGCATATGAAAGAATATCAGATCTAGTCACTCAATCTTTCATCTTCCTTATTATCCTGTTAAATAAAAAAGACATTAATAATATCATATTTCTCTTATTTGGATTTTCTATTAAAAGCTTATACAAGAGCACAATAATATCATAGTTATCTATGATAAGTGCAATCCATATATCAACCATTTTCTTCCTTGCCATGACAAAGCAAGTGTCTCATTCTACTTTCGATAACAACCAATTATAAGCTCTTTAGTAGTAAAGTATTTATGTAATTTTTATCTAAGTGTTCTCACATGAAAAACTATTCACTATACTCCAATGGACTAATGTTATTCCTTGCAAATCTTTCTTACTGGTCTAACAAAAAACTGAGTTAAAAAATCATTTTACAAACAGTACATAATTATGCATTGTATAGAGTTTCATTCTTAAATAACAAAAATAAAGCAAATAAATCATTTTAGATCTTAAAACAACTTAAAAATAAATTCATTTAATAATCCTTAACATCTTACTAATAAAGAGATTGCCAAGCAAGCAAAATACTGAAATGCATGTTAGTTAGTACATTAATCTTTCATAGATTAATTTAGGTATTTATTTAAAATAGTATATATATTATGTATTCCTCTAAAAAGGAGACTCTTATATACAAACAAGTGTATATGTTCTAAATAATATAGTTAAATGAAGTAAGAGACACTAGTACAAAAAAGAGCGTATAACGGCACGCGTTTAACGTCCAACTACTGAATAGCCAACGTTAAAAATGACCGGTGACATTTTTGTAAATAAATACAATTATTAAACGTCGTTTAGAATTGTAATTCGACGTAAAATGATATAAAACGTCAAATGCCCCAGCGATAGACGTCAAAAGGTTAGTGAATTCAATAAAAATTTGAGTGGGAGATTGAAAATTCATTCACTTTATCTTAGCACGCGAGACCCTCTTCTCTTCTCAAACTTTTCTCAAACGAAGACCATCACATGTAATCTTTCTTTCATTTGATACAAATGCATTTTATGTATCATTTTCATTTGTTTTGACCGATTATTTTCGTGCTTTTGTCCTTCATAGGCGCATTCTGCTTTCTCTGTCACCGGTGACGACACTTTATTCCAACGAACCCACCTTTTGAAGGTTAGTTTTCATTTTCGTTTTGAAGAACTTGTTTGTTATTATTTGGTTGAACTTGTTTGTTGTTGTTGTTTGATTGAACTTGTTTGTTGTTGTTGTTTGATTGAGTTTGTTTGTTGTTGGTTATTGTTGTTTGTTCTTGATACTACGTTCATAGTTCTTGCTTTATAAAATACCAAAAACTGAAATTTCTTGTTTTTCTGCTTTTCATTCGTAGAGTTGTAAAAAAGAATAACAATTAATTAAAAAAAACAAAAAAAAAATATTATTAACGTCGTATATTAACAAAATTGGAAGTTAAGTTAACGTCGTATATTGACAAAATTTAACGTTAATTTAACGTCGAATTTTGACGTCAATTTAATGTCTCCTAATGTAACGTCGTTTGTCAATTTGCACTTAAAAACCCAAAATATTCGATGTTGTAAGCGATTTTTGTACTAAGATAAATATCACTAGTTAAAAACTAAAGCTATTATAATGTGTAGCATGACCAGTGTTGTCCTTTACAAACAATATGTAAATTAACAAAAAAAAGTTAACGAACTTTGAAAGTATGACGTTACTTAATTAAACATAACAAATGTTAAGTAGATAATTATTTATCACATGAATGTCACTAAAAAATTAACATTAGACAATTTTTTTTCTTCCAAAAAGTAGAAATGGTATATTTTATTGAATTAACATTAGACAAATCAGAAACATCGAACATGAAAATATTCTTAAATTTGATATAATACATGTTCCGGTAAAAAATTAGGGGTCTTAAACCCAAAAACAAAAGTAGAATGGACTTTCTTCCTTCAAATGACTACTTTAAGTTTAAATAATTATATTTATTAACCAAGATAATACTCTTCTATTTACAAATAAAATTATTACAAATAGTTTATCCTACAATATTTTAAATAAAAAATAATAATAAAAAACAACAATAATAACAAAAATATAAAATATTTAGTATACAATAGTATTTGTATATCTGTTTGTCTCTATTTAAGGGTTCAGAGTATGTTTATCAGTTACAATGACTTTACTTAATAATATTGTGATAAAAAA